CTAGCAGTCTGAGTACCTGCTCGCTGACCATACTCTTCCCACAGTGGACTGATGCTAATTAAAGGAGACAACTTCTCCATGTTTTGAATGTGGGCTTCTTGTCTTTGTCAGTGTCCTTCTGGACATACAGCTACTGAGAGGATGGAGGAAGCTAAGTTGATGGACAGCTGCGTGACTCTGCCCTCCCAGCCCCTAGGTGCAATGATGGTTCACATGGCCCAGGATCTCCCCTGACCACATAGAAATGTCAGTGTTTAAGAAAATAGAGCTCAGATTCTACCCCTCCCCAGTCTTATTCTTGGTTTGAGTCTTTCCACCCACAAAGCAGCACTGTTCTAGAACATTTTTTGTTTGTTTGTTTGACTATCTTAAGGTTGCAGTAACTGCACTTGCTTTCCTCCATTTGATTAACACTCCAGTGCCAGAAGGAAACACGGGGTGCTTACTTCACTGGTTGAATCACAGATGTGGCCTTTCCTACTAGACTTTTTATTCATTAGGATACAAACCATTCCAGAATTCTCTTGATTTTTTTTTCTAGATCATTGTCAGGAGAGTCTCAGTATATTACCTGACTCGGTGTTCCTTTGGCTTTGCTACCCAATGTTTTAGTGTCTGTGCATTGTGAGCAATCCAGTTCCAGGTCAACCCCAGATGCAGTATTGATTCTGAAACTGAATCAACCCCAGATGTGGTACTCATAATTTCTTGCATCTGATATTTTAGAGTCAGCTATATTAAAGCACCATTTCCTCATTATTTTCTAATCAAAATCTCCCATTAATCTTTTGTTAGTGATCTAATTGTTATACCATTTAATATCTGCCCTACATGTATTTTTTCTATTTTTCATTGATATTGATTGATGACTTAACTCATAACTAAAATTCCTGTGTGTGCTTACTATAGTTTGAATTGGTCACTGCAATACATATACAATGTATTTAATAGTCAATATTTGAAACTTTGGTTGTATATCGTAGACACTACCCATATATATTATATATTTATGTATAAATATATATACACATATATATTTAAATCTTAAATTTCTGAATTTTCATGACTTACAGCCTAAGAACTCATTACACAAGATACTATCTTTATAACTAAACTACTTTTTATTCAGCAACTGGATAGCTATTATTTAATACATGATTTTTTTTGATAGGATATTGCTGTGTAATGTAGACTAACCCCAAACTCTAAAACCTGGTGCCTGAGCATCTAAAGCTCTAGGATTGCAGGTATACTGACTTTTAAATAAGTTCAAATTACTTTAAGTAAGTAAAATAAGGGCACAAATTTCTTTTATAATTTTTTTATTCAGTGATTATTTCTGTGTTTAAAAAATTATATTGCATTCCTGTGTGTGTATATGTGTATATATGTACTTATATGTATATGCGTATTTGTGCATAATGGGGTGGGAGGAGTAGGATGTGTGACTGACATAACACACATGTGGAAGCCAGGAGAACTTGTGGGAGTCAGTTCTCTCCTTCTATTATATGGGTCTGGAGAACTGAATTCTGGTCATTAGATTTGACCTGAAAGTGCCTTTTCTGATGAAATTTCAAGGCTACAAGAGTAATATCTTAGTTCTAGAGCACTTGCTTAGCATGAAGAATGCCCTGTGCATAATTCGCAGCCTTACCCTAAAAACAATTTCCAAGAAGGTCGCAATAAAAGAAAAAGAACATATGGCAGACTGATTTATGTGACAGACATGGCTTTAGTCTTTAAAGGATCTACATAGTAAAACTGTGAAAAGAGGTTCAAATGTGACCTTGACTTTTGGAAGATGGGTCAGATGTTTTTGTTCTTTTCAGCCCTGGGCATCCCACATACAGAATTCAACAACCAAACAAACGAAAAACTCTAGAAAACAGAAGGCAAGCTGTCTGCTTAGGATCCGTGGAAGTAAATTTTCTGTGTTTTCTTTCGATTCATATATTTTAGCCTGATTGATTGAGAATGGCAATAGATGCAGGAAAATAAAATGGAGCAATAAAACCTTGCTTTCTCTGGCTACAGAACCATGGGAAGGGTAGCTTCCTAAAGGCAGAAGACTTTTAGAAAGATAACTTCTTGTTCCATGGAAACAGTATGGGAAATGGCTCTTGGTGTAGGAAGTCCTTCAGTATTTGTGTTGCTTTCATTGGTTAATAAAGAAACTGCTTTGGACCTGGTGATAGGGCAGAATGTATGTAGGTGGGAAGACAGAACTGAATTCTGGGAGGAAGAAAGCAAAGAGACAGAGACGCCATGGAGCAGATAGGTCAGACATGCTGAATCTTTCCCAGTAAGCCACAACCTCGTGATGACATACAGATTATTAGAAATGGATTAAATCAAGATGTGAGAGTTAGCAAATAAGAGACTAGAGCTAATGGGCCAGGCAGTGATTTAATTAATGCAATTTCTGTGTGGTTATTTTGGGTGGAAGCTAGTGGGGCAGATGGGATGACAAGCAGCCTGCTCGTTCCTGTTACAGGTTCTGATCCAGGCTCAGTATTTATGTCCTGAAAGATAGTCTGGGACAACAAAAGTGTAGAAAAAATTTGTAGGTGGAGACTGCTTGTTTGTTACTGGATGCCCAAAACCAAATAAGCACACAGCTACTATGTGAATTACAACACTGCTTGGGCAATAGCTTAGGCATATTCCTGGCTAACTCTTATATCTTAACCCATTTTTTTTTTTAATCTGTCTGTCGTCATGAGGCTGTGGCCTACTGGTAAAGTTCCAGCCTTCTGGCATCTTTCTCCTTCAGCAGCTACATGGCATCTCTCTGACCCCACCTACTCTCTCTCTATATCTCTTCCAGTCTGGCTGTATTATGCCCTGGTATAAACCCCAGCAGTTTCTTTAGTAACCAATGATAGCAAAAACATATTCATAGCATACAGAGGGGAACCCCACATCAGAAATTGTTAAACCTGAGAATCATGAGGTGAAAAGACATGATTGTAAAATTAAAGCAAACTGTGTTTTGCATTCTACCCAGGACTGGCCTGCTGACTGTCTCACCCTAAGTCTGGATTTGAGAGAGAGCAGCTTCTGCTGGCCTCTTGAAGTCCCTTATTTAGGAGAAGAGATAAGGTACTCACAGGGGTGAGAGTTGGCTGCTGTACACTGCTAGAAAGGTACAGTGAAAGTGAAGGAACCAGGGTAAGGATACCATTCTGTTTAGGTCTCAGCGAAATGTTGACTGGGTTGTTAAGAGAGCTGTTCTTATAAGACCTGAAAAGACCCTAGGTGGGGAAGCGCATGGAACCCCACGGCAAACATAATGACGTCAGTTTCAAAAGCAAGCCAAGGAAGTCTTAGAAGCCAAGAGAGTCAGCCTTTCCTGCTTGGGGTAAGCAATGCAGAGGACAGTGGACCTCTCAGGACAGATGGAGGTCTGCTGGAAGTGGAACCTTAGTCAGCTCACTGAAATTGCCCTCAGAAATGAAGAGAGGTCAGGAGGATCTCATCTAAAGCAAGGCCGCTCTACAGCATGGTTAGAGAACATTCTCCCCCTTCTGGTATCCTTACTACTCGTGAATCTGTGATTATAGGAAATAGGAAAGACTTTTAAATGAAAGAATGAAGATGAACAACTTGAAAACTCTGAGAATCACAGGATGGCTGTGCGTACAATAATTTGTATTAAAAGCTAGATAGAGTTGTAAAGTCTAAGTTCTTACAAAATTAGAATTCTAATTTTGGGGAGTGGAGATTTGAGGGAAAAGAATACATTCTTGAACATGCAAGGGTCTGAGGAACAAAACATCTGGTCTCTACCTGCAGGTTAATAGGGAGAAAACTGAACTGTTAATGTAGCTCTCATATGCTAAGATGAGATTGCGGTCATGTAATCATTTCTAAGGGTGTCTGCACAGTGAATCCAGCAGGCGCTTATATATTGGCACGCACTGTGTTGTTCTTGTTTCAGAACCAGTTGCTGTGGTGATGGTGACTTAGTTTTGGGTAATTTTAAAACCTTAAATTTATTTCTCACAGTTTTGAAAGCTGGGAAGACAGTCATCGGGGTTCAGGCAGATCCTGACTGGCACGGGCTCATCTGCTTTGTAGACTGAGCGCTCACTGCCTCCTCTCATGATGGAAGTGGGCCTTGCTGCTCCTTAGCCACTTGTAAAGGTGCCGGTCTCATCATAAGGGCAGGTCTCTCCTGGCTTGCACATTTCCCAGATGTTTCATGTCTTTGAAAATATATTTTATCTAATATTTGTACAATGTGTTTGTTCAAATCCACCTCCCATTCCTCTCCCACCACTACCTTTTCTTATGCTGGCCTCCTTCCCCTTACCTCCCCCTGTCCCTCTGATTCCCCTTCTCCTGAAAAAAATTGAATGTCCCTCCCCCAGCTGTGACCAGTTGTCCATAGCAGCCTTAGACTTGGTGGGGTGTAGCAGGTTTTCTTATTGGACTCTGGATTGCCAGCCTCCAAATAATATGGAGACTTATTAATTATGAAAGCGTATCCTTTAGCTTAGACTTGTTTCCAACCAGCTCTTACAACTTAAGTAACCCATTTTTATTAAGTCTACGTTCTGCCACGTGTCTCAGGTACCTCCCCTCAATAGATGCATTCCTGCTAGCAAAACTGCATACCCAGATTCTTTCTCACTTTCCTCTCCCTCCCCCTGGAAATCCTGCCTGTTCTCTCCTGTCTACCTATTGGCCATTCAGCTCTTTAGTAAACCAATTAGAATGCTCCTTTGCAAAGACACATCTCCACAGTATACAAAAAGATTATCCCCAACAGTGGGGATTAGTTATCTTATAATATGTGAATTTGGGGCAAGATTAACATATGGTAGGATCAGGATTGGAGTGGGGCATGGTCAAGAGATAAGTGGAGCCAGAACCTAAGTACTCTTCAGTCTCTGCCTTCAGTTTTCATCTAAGAAAACCCCTGTGCTCTTTTAAGATTATATAAATATAATATTAGAGTCTTTTAACTACATTATGACCCCAGAGACCAAGAATAATTAAAGATAGAAAGACCAAAATTGAAAATTCTTTATAGAAAGTTCAAATCTGTCATTTAAGGTTAATATTCACTTTAAACAAAACAGTATTCTGTAGTTGGCTTTCAGAACAATATTCTCTAGTTAACTTGTTTAAAATTGCTTCTTGCACCCTCAGTTTTAGCATTTTTCAACAGTAAGCTAGAATGTTGGTGACCTTTGATACTTTTTTGGTTTGGGGAGATTTTGCTGGCATTTTGAGAATATTATTTCTTTTTCTTTTTTTTTTAAAGATTTATTTATTAAGTATGTATATAGTATTCTGTCTGTATGTCTGCTGCAGAAGAGGACACCAGATCTCATTACAGATGACACCAGATCTCATTACAGATGGTTGTGAGCCACCATGTGGTTACTGGGAATTGAACTCAGGACTTCTGGAACAGTAGTCAGTGCTCTTAACCTCTGAGCCATCTCTCCAGCCCGAGAATATTATTTCTATAAATAAATGCAAAAATCAAAATAAGATTTTACAAGTTGCTCCCTGGTAGTTGGAGGATTAGAAAGTAGAATCTCCCATCTCACTTTGTTTCCACTGTAGCTAGAGATACAGGTTTGTGCTTTTCTCTTCTCTCCTTTGAACCGGCTTGAACCTGCTCAACCTCATGTGTCAGTGGTGAATCTAATATCCCCCACACAGGTAAATATTGTGCTTTCTGCTGTGAGGATCAAAGCAACATGTGGATTGATGTTTGAGCCTGTGTGAAAGAACAGAAGCAAAATCCCTGGTGTTTGAAGAAAACATGCGTGGTTTGAATAGAGAATTCACACCAGTAATTGCTTAGCAATATGCTTTGATTTTTCTGTTTTTTCAAACATTGTACTTAAATACATACCACACAGCAAATATAGTTGAGCTCAATGAAGATAATTACATTATAATTGAAGGTTTAAATGGACATTTCCATTGAAAATGGTGTTTCTGAACAATATTTGTTACTGTCTATATTGCACTTTAGATTGTTAGTCCTAACCATGAAATTAAGAATAATTATATGTGAACTTCTTCACAGTGTCCTTCTACAAAACTTGTCTCAAAAGTTTATATACATAGATGTTAAAAACTGTCACCTGTGGATGCTATATATACATTCATAAAAGAAAGACGTTTGAAACAGTTTCAGAAATATGGTAGATTCGTGCTTGTGTTTGTTAACATAGAACCAGCCCAAGCAATTGCAAACTCAAATCTGTACACAGGAATATTTCTTAAGTCATGGCTATTGAGTTTTCATGTTTTTAAATACTTGTTTCATTTTGAAATTTTATAATGAATAGATTTCAATGAATCAAAACATTTCATCTTCATCTCTGGCCATCAAAATGTTATATAGCTTGCTCTCCACAGTTACTGGCAACCACACCATTCCTTTTTTGTTATTTGTTTTTTACATGTGGAGCACTAATTCTTCTTTGAAGAATTATATGCTTGAAATATGCTTGAATGTAAAGTAGGATCCATGTAGTTAATAAAGGTCATGGTTAGTAGTCTAAGTGTGAGAAGGGCAAACTCTTCAAGTGTGACTCACGATTACTGGAGCATCTGTTGATACGATATATGCAAACGCTGCGGTATTATCACATCGGCCTAGAAAGGACTCATTTTGTCACTTCTGAGTCAGAGAGTCCATGCTTTGTTTGATCTGGGCCTCAGACCGATACCATCAGCTGCAAAGTAGAAAAGTCCTCATACGGCAGATTTGAGAGTGGCATGAACTGCGCTGTAGTCCTGGTCTTAGAGTTTACTATTTTTTCTTATGATAACCTAATGAATGCGTTAAAAACATTTAACAAATTCTGAAGTAATCGTTAATCTTAAGTATGATGAATAATTTGTTTATAGTTATATACTGAATAAGTTCACAGAGAAGTTATTAAAATTTAACTGAAATCAGAAACATGAATCTTAATAGAAGTCAGCCTTTTCAATTGAACACCTCAGAACTGTGGAGTTCAGGTGGCTTTTTTTTTTAAAAAAAAATTTCTTCTCTCATAACACAGTGTCTCTTTCCTCTACTTCTCCTCAGAAGAATTTCACGTGCTAGTCTATGACTTTAGGATGCACTGTCATGAATTGTTCTTTCTTGACCTTTAGAATTCTAATTACTCTCATGTTTGTTACAGCTTTAGGAGAACTACTTGAAAAATTTGTTCTACATCTCACCGAAAACCCATCTGAATGCTACTTCCCTTCAGTGGAGTACACAGGTATCTTTTTGTGATGTTTGCAAGATGCTCGGCTTGTGATAGGTGCTGTTTTATAGTGACATGCGTGTCGAGTGCTGATGTGTGCAAGCTTCCCTGTCTGAAAGTCCTCTCGCTTCACACCCTGGGATGCTGTGACCTTCATCTGCTTCTGGTCTCCAGTGCAAATTTTTTTCTTGGTAGCATTGCCTGCTGTTCTGATTTTATGATATGCCCCTCCCTGATCTCATCAGCTCATAACTATCTTACTGTGTTTGTCTGTTATAAGACTGGGAATGTTATAGCAAAAGTTTATTTTGACCCATTATCCTGTCCCAACATCAAAGAAATGTAACTGGTGATGCCTTCTTGCTCTTCGGTCCCCCAGTGATATCATTTGGTCAACATCAGTCAGTGTGTGTGCGTTCTTCTCTCATCTAATCCTAGTAGCCTTCTGAAGACCGAAAATGGCAACTCACATTAAGTTTTTGCTTCTTTTTAAAAAAAAATTATTTTCATTTCATGTGCATATGTTTTGCCTGTATGTATGTATGCAGTGTGTGTCTGTGTCTGTCTGTCTGTCTGTCTGTCTCTCTATCTGTCTGGTACCCACAGAGACCATAAAGAGGCACTAGGTCCCTGGGAATTGGAATTAAGAATGTGTGTAAGCTACCATGTGAGCGTTGGGAATGAATCCAGGTCTTTTCCAAGAACAGGAAAACTTTTAACCACTGAATTATCTCTCCAGTCTCTCAGTTTCCCTTTAGAAAATAATACTCTTTTCTACAATATATTTTGATCATATTCACACCTAACTACTCCCAGATATACATAGCCCACCATTCTTAATACATTGAGTCCAATTCATGTTTCTTAAATACCCTGAGAATTGACCTACAAGGGCTTACACCGTTAAAGGAAGCTGGCCCTTTCTACCCTTTGCTATCAAATGGCATTCGCTTCTTAGCTAAGGGTAGGACATTATGCCATTGCTCTCTCTCCATGATGGGAGTTTGTCTGCTCTGAGCATGTACAGGTCTCATGAATGCTGTCACAGTCTCTGAATTTGTATGTGCAATTTCCCTGCTTTTCTTTCTTTCCGGAAAACGCTGTTTTCTTGTAGCCATCACAGACTTTCCGACTCCTCTTAAGTTTCTGCTTCTGAAAATTCTCATTAGGGACTGATCTTCACGTTTCATTTCAGATGAGATTCAACAGTAGCACTTACCTACCTCAGATAAATTAATGATTTTAAAATTTCCATCTTCTAGTCAGAGGTTTTGTTTTTGTCAACTTTATTGTCACACTTCTAGTTGCTGAATAAGAGCTGTACCTGGATGCTAGCTACCATGACATTCCTTAACCTCAGCATGTCAGCAATAACTGCCTTGCATGTATTGACACATGCTGTCTTTGTATGTGTCCTGTCTTGGTAGGAGGTGCATCCAGGTAGAAACTGAGAAGTCAGCATTGATATTTGCCTTCCATTACTACTCCTATGTTCTTACTATACCTCTGCTGCATCTCAAATTTATTCCATTTTGTTCCTAATTATTCTTCTTTATGTTAATTAAGGCCAGCATTGCCCCTTGCCTAGGGTATCAGAGACCCTTTGCATGCTTTTCAATTTTCAGTCTGGTTGTTTAACACATACATTATTGTTGTCTCTGGGGTTGTGTTTTGTTTGAGACAGAGCTTCACAGTGCAACTAGCTAGCCTTGTACTTGCTCTCCTCCCGTCTCAGCTTCTCTAGGATAGTCATAAGACATTTATGCCAGCACACCCAGCAAAATGACATTCTGCGCACACAGTAAGGGTGATCCTTGGCATGCAAATCTGGATCTGTTCATTCCTCTACTTCTTCCCCTGACTACTGAGTAGAGTCTAAACTTCTTTTGATACTCATACTCTTAATTGTTTTGCTTCTTTTATTTTTCCTGATATCATCTCTTTCTCTCCATGACTTGAGTTTATTTATTTTATTGAATACCGCTGTTAACGCCACTGCCAACTTTCTCCTGTTCCAGATAACTGCATAGTCTTTTTTTTTTTTACCAAGCACATATTATAGCTGTGTATTAACACTTTTCTAGTTATTTGTTATGAATGTTTGTGTGGTTTGTATTTTATAAGCTTACTATGTCTTCCACATTAGAAAGGACTGAAGGAGGAAAGGGAATACAGCAGAGGGGTCCAGATGAAAAGTTAGAATGCCTCATGTGAGGGCCCCCGTAGTGAAGGTAGGAGGAAGCATTTGAATGCTGAGTACATTGTGAATCTATGGCTGTCCAGACCAAACAATAGATTGACTATAGGATGTGAGAGAAAGGAGGACTCTCGTCAATGTTCTGAACTGCTGAGAAAGTGCAGTGACTATACAGTAAAATGAAGAAGGCATTTCTCTCTTACATATGATGTTGTGTAAGTTTCTTAGAGTTTCTACTGGTATGATGAAATACCATGACAAAAAGCACCTTGTGGTGGGAAGAGTTTATTTGGCTTGTATATCCTGAATCATAGTCTATTTATTGAGGGAAGCAGAGACAGGAACCAAACCAAAAAGCCTGGAGACAGGAACTGATGTAGAGGCCATGGAGGAGTACTGCTTACTGACTTGCACCCCATAGCTTGTTCAACTTGTTTTCTTGTAACACCTAGGACCAGCAGTCCTTGGGTGGCCCCACCCACAATGGGGTGAGCCTGGCCCTCCCAAATTATTAAAAAAATGCCATACAGGCTTGCCTACAGCCCAGTCTCATGGAAACATTTCTCAATTGAGGTTCCCTACCTCAGATGACTATAGCTTGTGTGTCAAGTTGACATAAAACTAGCCCAAACAGTAAGTGTCTCTGTTCTTACGACTTTAATTTCATAATGAGTCCAAATACAGTGATATTTATAAACACATAGATGAAAAGATGAAGTCAGATGGAGGGAACGGATAGCCCCTGAGCTTCTGTTTGGCTTAGGTGTCTTCTGAGGGTCTTCGTACATTGTGTCGTATGACCCTCGAAAAGCCCTCTGAAGCAGGAAAGCTCTTAATGTTTAAAACAAGAAAACTGAGACATAAAGGAGAGAAATCATAAATTGGGAAGATTTTTGAAGACATGAATTTGGAAGGAAATTGTAATTTTTTGAAGAAGTCTTAAACCTTCCCTGAGAACATAGCAGGGTTTAGCAATGACACCTGAAGCAAGGAATGAGTGGAAGATTCTGAACGCGTGGGCTCCTCTGACTGGAAATCTTCAGGCTGAAGAGTAGTCACCTCCGCTCTCAGCAGCTCTTTATGATACGTTGTTCTGCTGGATCATATGTTCCACAAACAGTATAAAAATAAGATTATGTATTTTTCTTATAAAAACACTTATCAAGGTTGATTACATAATGGGCATGTATTTCCTATTTGTCACCTTTCTGAATTGTGCTGAGTGAAATTTCAGATGTTGACGTCACTGTATGCACTTTGTGGTCAGATACACCCTGAATGTGAATTTAACTTATTGAAAGGGTTCAGCTGAACAGGTATCCATGCGAGCTTTCTAGTAAAGCCAGAAATAAAGCAGCTTCCTGTTGACTGATTGTTGGATACTTATTACTGTGGTACAGTGAGTTAGTGCTGGTTTCTTTTAGAGTTGGTAAGTGTCCTCATCCTGATGTGTCTTCTAGATGGTAGAACAATGGCTGCTATTGTAAAATCACACTTTAATTACTGCAAGTTGGAAAGAGCCGTGGTTTAATATAAACGATGCTTCAAAATAAATTCTGGACATATTCACTGCTTTTCTTTGTTTCTTAAAGTGAGAAATCCATTGTCTTTTTAAAAAATGACAGCTTTCTAAGCCCCAAGGTAGCTGAAATTAGAACAACGCAACTATCCATCTGTTGTTAGTTCCCTCAGGATCTCAGCTCACTATAAAATCTGCAAATCTGGAAAAATCAAATTAGTTTCATTGTTTATCCTCTCAAAGAAAGACGAATGGACAAACAGATAAACATTCTGCACACTTAACGTTAGTGGTACACCCCTGTAGGTGTCTTCACAAAACTTACAGATGTTCATTTCTTACCAGCTCCAGTCTTTCACATACACAAAGTATTTTGGTATTGTAATTGCTTCTTTGCAGTGTTATATTGAATATGCCTCACAAAGGCATAGATTCATAAAAATCTTTTCCTGATACTAATTTATCTATAGACTGGAAAGATACCATCATTTCACTTTTGGCTATTACAATGTAATTTTAGAAATCAATTGTATCTTATTTTATGGATATGTGTTATGTATATGAATCACATGCATATCTGGTGCTCACAGAGGCCAGAACTGGCCATGCAATAGTTGAGAGCTGTCATTTGGGTACAGAGAATCGGATGCAGGTCCTGTAGAAGAGCAGCCAGAGCTCTTAACCTCTGAGTCATCTCCCTAGCCCCTAAAATGTAACATTTTTAAAGAATGGTGTTTTTTGTTTTTATTATTGCATTTTTCTGTGTGTTGGTGTTTTGCCTGTATGCATATATGTATGCATACATGAGCACCATGTGTATGCAGCCACCCCCAGAGGCCAGGAGATGTTGGCTCCCTTGTGAGTGGAGTTGCAGATGATTGTGAGCAACATATGTGTGCTGGAAACTGAGTCCAGGTCATCTAAACAGCAGCCGGTGCTTTTAATTTCTGAGTCATCGCTTCTGTACCTAAAATATAACTTTTAATTTGATATAGGCATATACATGTCTTTTATATTTTGATTGAATTTTGGGCCAACACATTCTTTGCTTGCCTAATATTTGTGAATGTTCGCTACATTCACGGGGGTGTATCATAGGAAGCTGAGTTCGTAGAAAGCTCTATAGCACAATCCAAAATCAGTGGTAGCACACAGTGAGGTGGGAACTGACGGAAACTCACATTTTCAGGTATAGCTCCTTTGTTTCAGATGCAGTGCTGGCACCTTTAAAACTAGCATTTGAAATGTGCTTTTGTCACTGAGAAGCAGGAAGAGTGACACGGAGATCGCTGGGTTGGC